CAGAGAAGGCAAAATCATGATTTTTAATCGTAGTTTAGTCTTCGACAGAGAATATAGTCATCGGATGAACTTTTAAAAAAAAAGCGTAAATCTAATCTAACGAAGAGAAGAGCAAATGGCAAAAAAAGTCTCTTTATCTTTTGATATAAAACACCGAGCGATGGAATAGATTATAAATAAGTATCGTATAAAATTATTATCAAAAATTAAACACAAATTCATTCACACTCAACAGCTTTTGGAGAAATTTTTTCTCTTGACTATTTTTCTTTTTAATAATAAAGAGCTACTACTACTACTACTACTTTGCCTTTTGATTCAATTTACAAAAGGTGACTTTTTCAATAACAGAAATATATTTTGTACTTTTTTATAGTTAATTTTCGTAATTTGTAGCGTTATGCATGAAAACTAATTTTCAAATTTTTCAAATTGATAGATACTGTAACTGTCGTATGGAAATATCGAAAGATTCTAAATATCTAATAAAAATAGTGCTATTGTTATACAAATTTTTTTAATATTGATTCATTGGGTAACATGATAGGCTTTAACATAGAACAAAATTTTCTTGCTTTCATATACATTGCATAAAAAATAAACTTTGTTTGATTATGTAGAGACCTTAAGTTATACATAGTGATTAATTTAGCATTAGTCGCGATGGTTTTCTTTTTCTCTCTCTTGTTTATTTGCTCTCAATATTTATTCATATACAAATTCCATGAGAAGAATAGTTATTAAATGTAAAGAAGAGAAGGAAAAAAAATTCAGAACACTTCATAATGTTGAAGTATAATTTTCACTGAAAAGTGTATACTTACTATCAGATGTTTCTTACTTTTCTAAGTGAACTAGACTTTTTAAAAAAAAACTTTCTTCATATAAAATCATTACTAATCTCTACAGTTGAACTAAGAATATATGTATAACCATAAAATTATAAATTTTAACCCTTAAAACTTTTTTAAGTAAAAATCATAGCAATTTTATGCCCAAAACAAGTTGTTTTAGATGTCTGAAAGATCATCCATAAGTAGTTGATCTATGTACAAATTCTGGATATTATTAATTCAATAATATTTTACTATATTACACGATATTCAAGCATAGAAGCATAGACAAACATAAACACAACAACAAATAACTGATAACTTTAAAATTATCATGAAAATAAGCTGAAACGTCATGGTTGATTAACTTCTACTTATATGGTTGAATAACGGGAAATACGAGCCGGTAATGATATAAGTATAATATTAGATGTGAATAACAAATTTGACGTTAAATATGCGAGATAATAGAGATATTTCTGTGAAAGATAAACAATGTGAAGCTTTTTATTTAGATTTAAGACCGCCATTGTCCACCTGTGGAAACAAACAAAATTTTGTATAAAACCTTCATATTGAGATAAGCGCATGGTTGAACATTCCAAAGTTCCTACTCTTGGAAACAAGGATAATGTTCATCATTAAAAAAGTTTATTAGACTTCTCCAGTCTTACAGAACATATTCTAAAACACAATGGTTATTTAATTACACCCTAAGCTCCTAATGTTTTTTCAGTAAACATAAAGACATCAAATTGCTTCAGAGAAAATATTTTAATGCTGTTATGTATGCTCTTTTTGCTTCATTGTAACAGATTTCTGCGATACTAGGAGTGATTTTCGAATATACTAATTAAAATATTTTGAAAAACAATGAAATTTGATCTTTTATTTACTCTACTAAAAATAAATATTTGGTTTAACTTTTATCACTAAAGAATGACATGTTATTCTTCAGTGAAAGTACTCATACTGTTAGTACTAAATACTAAAGATTTTTCCGATGAGTACTCGAATTAGTACTAACGGGTTACAATTAGCCATTTACCGTTTTGTTTGCGGTCGGCCGAGTATATAAGCCCAATCGAAATATCGAAGAAATACCGTTTTTTTCCCTTTTTTTCAGTTTTAGATGATCAGTTTCATACTTCCTTTATTTTAGACTTCTAACCTTTTTTTAGGTTAAGTCTCACTGGGTAGCCAAGTCTCGCCTTTGGCTTAACAAAACTGTTCCCCCAAACGCAAGTCTGAGTAGCCGGCCTAGACGGGTCATGGTTCCCGCTTAAGTATAAGACTCAAAAATCTAAATGAAATTTTTCTGAAAACTTTCAAGGACACGTCCATTCTCCGAAGGAGATGGAAGTTTAAAGTTTACTTTTATAGAGAGAACCCTAGAGAATAGACCTCGGGGTGTTTACATAATCTTAATTTCTTGCTAAGAATAGGCAAGAATGCTGGTAGGTAAGACTGTAGAAATATAGTCGCGCCAATGTTTTTGCCAGAATACTTCCTACTTTCAAACATTTTTCGTTTTTTTCCATTTTCTATCTATGCTGAAGTTTTCAATTTTTTTCTCTTACTTTTCTCATTATTACTCTCCTCTTCTTTTCTATTTCCTCTCATACTTGTGTGAAGACTTTCTAGGACTTGTTCATTTTCTGAAGGAAAATAAAATTTGAAGTATAAAGTTTATATACGGGGGTTTTTGTGGTTTCCAGGGGGGATTTTGTCAGTATCTGTAAACTTTCAGGATGAAACTGTGATTGATCAAATTTCAATATAAATTTTGTGTTTACAGCTCCTGAATCGACTGATAACAGATAGTGCATTATTGATCTAATGTTGCTGGACACAAGTTTTAAAAATTATTACCATATCTCTTCATATGAACAGAAAGAATAAGCTATTAATTAGCAGTTTCTCTCGCGTGCTACTATTCTTATTTAACTTCGTTCTATTTATACATCTTCTATGTTAAAGTCCAATAATTCAACAGAAGTTTCATATTTTTGCTTCGCAGAAGCAACGCTAATTTAGCTGACAATAGCGTTCTCGCTCAAAAGTGATAATTTAACGTTGAAAGTAGTGTTTTTTTAATTTTTTTCAGATTGAAAAATTTGAGAATTACGGACAGAATTCCGACTTTTTCGCCTCTGATTTAGAAAAACCGAATTTTCTTAGTAATGAAGCAAAATTTTAAAAGAACGAGAATCATATTTTTGAAGACAAGCTTTCAGCGAATCTAATAACGTGCAAATGATGGCTTCAGCGCCTAACAGGAAAAACTAGATAGTCTTACAAAATCCGCAGTAGAGAACTTTTTTAATTTTAAATTAGTCAGTTACGGTGATTTTACGATATGGACTGAAACCACTAGGAGACAACGACGATTTTTTACAGACAAGTTGAACGAAAAAAATTCATGTAAAAACGTTCTAATTATAAAGTTCTTCCAATATTACCAAATGGTTAGCTAAACTCTTTTCGGTCTCAGCAGACAAAGGAATGAAATAGAAAAAACTATTCATCGTTGAACAGAAGAAGGAATGCAAGAAAAAGAAAGGAAATTACTCAATAAAGCAATATCTTTTAAACAGGTGAGAAACATTGAATTTATTTTTGCAGTTTACTGTAAATCTCTACTCATATGTTCAAGTCTATATTCATGTAAAAGTGATATGTTATATTTGTATGACATCAGTTTTAGAATAGTATATTGAATTAATTTTCTGTTGTATTCTGAAAGAAAAAAGTTTCAGTTAACTATAATTTCGAATCCTTTAATTGTTGTTGCCTGTTCTACTATGGTGCACACAATGTGAAATTCAAGCAAAATTTTATTTTTGAACTTATGATACATCATTCCATAGAGCATTTCGAGCTGATTAAAATGTATCTTTTAATTTTTAAAAGATAATTTTGAGGGTGAAAAATTGAAAATACATGCAGGATCTAAAAAGTCAAAAAATCCTTCAAGTTCAAAAACAGCTCAATATCTGAGTTCCAGACAGCTATACAAATTTCTATTCAAAACATTTTTTTCTTATTCATTATTGAAAACTGAATGGGAATATGGTGTTTGATTGATCAATTTCGGAGTTAAAAGCTTGTTCAGCATGGACGTTCCAAACACATCCTCTAGAGTGCGGACGAGGGATTTTGTAAACCTATTTAGTTTTTCGTGTTAGGAGCTGAAGCCATCATTTACACGTTATTAGATTCGTTGAAAGCTTGGCTTCAAAAGTATGATTCTCTTTTTTTAAAATTTTGCTTCGTTGCTGAGTAAATTCATTTTTTCCTGGAAGTATTTCAATTTTTCACCCTCAAAATTATTCTTTAAAAATTAAAAGATACATTTTCTTAATCAGCTCGAAATGCTCTATCGAATGATATATCATAAGTTCAAAAATAAAATTTTGCTCGAATTTTGCATTGTGTGCACCTTACAAACATAAACATAACTCAACGTAAATAAATAAACGAGATTATATATTGAACTCGGTTACCAGTCTCTAGGCTAGAGACTTTTATTCTTAATATCAGTCAGAAAATTGAAATGGCAACCAAGTGACAACCAAAAATTGTTTCGACCTGCATCGTTTCTGGTTTTCTTGAGTTGTTTTTTCATTTGCAAAAAAATTTTCAAAACGTTTTATAATTGTGTTGATAATACCAAAATTATTTGCAGGAGCGTACACCGTTTGATCACATCCCGAAGCGTCATCTACAAGAAGCGACATCTGGGTGATTGAAAAGAAAAATAGTCATGTTTTATAAAACTAACGAACCTTGAAGAAGTTTTTGCTTAAATATCTCCGACAGGTTCGAGATCACAACATTACCTCGACAACGGTTATTGTTCAAGATGACGTTTGTTTCTATCGTACAGATCGACAAACTTTTAAGTGGGATTTGCATTGATAGTGGTTTACTTTTTCGTTGAAAAGACTATTATTACATGTATGCATCTCATAAACGTTGAAAATTGGTTAAAACGAAGAGAAGAACGCATTTTGCTAGCGTAAAAGTATTTACAATCACATATTCTTATTACTAAGATTTTACTTTGATATTCGTTGTTGTTTTTTCAGTACACTGATATAAACGTGACTACTTTTTGGGACGTAGAAATATTTACATTTCAGATAGTTTATCTCTTACTGTACGATGGAACAACAAATTCAAGTATTAACTGCTGTCTGTAAAAAATTAAACAACGACATTGAAGTTAGTACTTAACTTAATAACTAGTTATAGTAGTTGATGTTAAGTAATTTTTGCTTGTATATGGTTTAGACGCTCGGTGCACAAACAGCACAACGTGGATCAACTTTTGCTCAATTAGATGCCAATCAACAAACTCATAATGAACAGTTACGGGTATTAAATACTGATCTTCAATTTAAACTAGCAAAAGTTGGTGGTATTATTCAAAAACTGTTAGCAGATGTTGAAAATATTACACACGGATTACGCGACACACAGCATACGCAGCAAGAGTTCAATCGTGCAAATGTACAACGATATCAAGAACTGAAAAATGAGGTGACCTCATACTATTGTTGTACGGTATGACCATTAATTTCTCTCTTTCTACACTGCTTTTAGCTTACAGCGCTTAGTCAACGTTTAGATCGTATGTTCAATGAACAACAGGTTCTTTTACATTCATTTGAAACGGATACTGCACAAGCTCTATCAACAGCTGATTCACGCTCAAGAACATTTGTGGATGAGTTAAGAAGTCAGTTTTATCAAACAAAAAGTCAAAATGATAGTGAACGAGAACGAAATGAACAACGAGTACATCAACGACTCGATGAAACCAAACGAACAGTTGAAAAATATGTTAGACTAGTTGAAATTACAAAATATAGTTACTGTTTCGACACTTTTTTCAACTTCTATTTAAGGATCGTCTTGAGAAACGTATAGATGAGGTTGCTCATCAGTTCGATAGAAAAACTGTCTCGCTAGATGATCAATATAAACGAACTGTATCCGATTTGAATCGAAGCAATGAGGTATACTATGGATGGTTTTTACCGTCTTTTAACAACTCTTAAAATCGATATAATGTTTAGACTGTCGAACAAACGGTTTATAAACGATTCGATGAGAAATATCAACGTGCATCGACCACCTTAGAAAAAATAAAAAAGGAAATGCGTACATGTTTTGAATCATTAGAAGGTTCGGTGAAAACATTACAGCGTATCACTGACGGACGAATTAAAGTTGCTGAAGAAAACTTTGATACAGAAATTGATAAAGTACGAAAAACGATTGTACTTATTTGAGAACATGTAAACGTAAAACTTATTCAAAGCGTGTGCATATTTTGCCTTTCACTAAAGGTTTTCGGACGTTCTTCGTTTGTTTTCTTGGATCGTCCCGCAATATTATACTATCTTCGTTTAAATTAAGTACGAACTATATCCCTAGTGAAACTTCTTGTAACCAACATGTTAACTCAAGATCTCGATAAGAAAACAGAAGAAGTGGACGAAATTTCAAGAACCAAAGATCTTGGAGGTCTTGAAATTTCTTGCTTTCTTGTACCAAGAGCTTGATAACTCTTGAATCACTGTTTTGTTACATACTTTTCCTTACATATAGCTGCGAAAATTTTCATACTTAGAATAGCTTCAAAGTTTTTCCTTTCTTGAGCAATGCTGTATGATCATATACTTTAAATAACTACGTATTCTTATTAAAAGTCTTCATTAAATTTCAAAGCAAAGTAACAGTAATCAAATCTTCTCATTTCACTATGCATTCATCTCTCTTGAAGTTCGTATTGAATGTTTGAGTTTTCACTTGTTAGTGTGCATTTTAGTTTTATACATATTTTTGTGTACATACTGTTTTGCTCTGATGTTTCAAAAAGAGAATCTTTTCACAGATAGAAATTAGTTTATAAATAAACCAACATATTATCATATGAACATAGTTTTGCTTTGCTAATTTTTACACCAATGCTTAATAGAGCTATTAGAATATTCTTTACTCAAAGAAATTAGACTGCTATTTCATTGGTGACATATTTTCTTATCCAAGCTCGTCTCTCTCTTTCTTTAAAAGGAAATAACATTTCCTTCTCTTTTTGTCTTTGAATGAGTGCAGTGAGTTCTATAATTATCCAACCACCTTTATTTTTGATTTCTTTCTCGATCATGATAGCTAGAAGATATCAAAAAGTGATTTGAACAGTTAAAAGAGTGGTGTGTATAAAAGTTTCATCAAAAATGCTGAAAATCAGGTCTCTTGGATATCAAAGTCCTAGAAAATCAAGCTCCTGGATCCAATTGAAAACTTTTTGCAAACTACATCGACAAATAAAACAAACATTTTAGTTGAATAATTTATTTTAAACTATTTTCATGTAAAACTGAAAAAGTCGTTACTGATTCAAAATTAGTTCAGAACGTTTCAGATCTTCAAAATCTACTTTGTTTTTCAAAAATTATTTTTAAAAAACAAAATGCTACACCAAATAGTTCAAATTCGATTCAATATCTATAACAGCCGAATGAGTCATGCGTTAACATAACCAGATGGAAGAAAATCATTGTTGTTGTTACAGCTATTTTGAAAATTATCGAATTCGCATTTTTTTTAGAAAGATTCTTTCCTCTACGATATTTCATATTTTCCAAAAGAAACTCGATATGGATAGATCTTGAAGAGTATGGGCTGATTTATTGAATAAAGCTAACACATACAGCTAAAAGACGAGACATACGCAGAGCGAAGAGCTCCACTCCATTCTAATCTAGATATATGTGATAGCTTCATTCACCAAAGCCAGCTCGTACTCTCCCATATCGGTTTAATTTAGGTAGAATGAGTAGTAGACGGTATATAATGAAATAAAGACTCTTAGAAGATCGAAAGTACAACAAAATAAACGGCTGTTGATTTTGTTGCACCTTCGATGTTCTAATATTCTCTGTATTCGTATTGGATTAACAACCATTCGTACAAATGATTAACAACCAAATTAACAAACCAACCCACGATGATTCTACAGCTTTTTCTTTTCATAGTATACAAATCAAAGTTAAAATTAGTTTGATATGAAATTTCAGTTCACTCAGCAAAAGATGAATGGTTCTCGTTTCCGATGTAAATATAATTTGAGGCAAGAAGAACAAAAATACCATCAGCAATATGACTAGGTTTATTTAAATGAGGTTAAATTTAACCATGGTATAATGATGTGAAAATGGATATCATACGACAATCAAAATGGAGGTAGAAAAAATTGTATATTAGTTGGTAAACAGTTTTTGATGAAGTTGAAGATTAACTTGTTTTGCGAATCGTGTTTAGCATAACTGTAGTTCACGAACAGCAAGGAGATTAGATGCGGTGGTACTTTCGCGGTTAGGATATTTCGTTTCGTATTTTCTCACTTCTCTTCGCTTCAATTTGAATTTATCATCACTGAATTTCAGGCATTATATAGGATAGTGTTAAAACGAAACCATGATTGCCCGATATCAAAAAGCAACGAATTCAAGACTGATTGATAAAAATAGTCATTAAAACGTACAAAAAAAGGAATTATTATCATTAACTAATCATCTATCATTTGCATGCAAAGTAATTATTCCCGAAAGTTTCATCATATTTGTTTAAACTAGCATCAGCAGTTTCACAATTGTATCATCATGCCTATTTATCAAATAATTATCAAATAGAAATTCATACATGGACTGAATTTTAAAATTTTTGGAATGGTGCTTCCTTGTTTCTTGACAGCCACCAAACATTGGCTACAGACGTGCATTTATTCACCGATGCTACTGGAGCGAGATCATGTCCAAGGCTTATGGTTTATTGATCGGTAGATGACAGGTTGAATAATATGGACAAGACAATATCAATTGCTTTCTTGAAAGTGTTTCTAGTTGTTGCATCTGCTATTTTATAGGGTTTATATTGGCCACAATGATGTATCATTTTCAACTGTGACAATGAATCTCTTATTTATATTATTCGAAAAGGACGTTTACCTAAAAACCATCGATAATGAGTGTAATGATGCGATTGACATTGTGTGCAAAAAACAATTTTATACTATCGTGTTCATGTATCAAGTAGAGATAATCCTATAGGTCTTGTGGGAATTACACATGAATCGACTTGTGCATTGGGTGCCAGTTGTCGAAATTTGATCAGCTGTAAACAGGAAAGAGAACTACCTCTTCCTCGACTCTCTTTCCTGTTTACAGCTGATCAAATTTCGACAACTGGCACCCAATGCACAAGTCGATTCATGTGTAATTCCAACAAGGAACAAAATATTTTATCTGAGTGATATTGTAATGAATCTGTTTGATAGTGCATTTGCTTCATCAACATTGTCGAGTTATTGGATCGGTTATGTACGTTTCCAACGACTTGCTGTACAATTTGATCCAACTTACACATCTCGTAATGGTATTGTGACTGAACATTTGCTGTTGTATTTTATAGCTTATTGTTAACTTATACAAAATTAAAACTCAAATATTCGAGAATTAAATTATATCTAACGAGGGAAGCTCACCAAGTGTCATGCGACTTTTTCAACAGCACATACCCTGTCTTGTAGAACTCGATGCGTTGATTACAGCAGTAATAAGCTCGTCCCCTCGAGCCTTCAGCGAAGAATTATAGAACAAACAAAACCGTGAAAAGAAGCCATTTTCGACACAAAAATTATAAAAAATTTATTTTCTCTAACTTCAATAAAAGATACATCATTCGATGTAGAATTTCATGCTGATTACGAATATTGGATTAAAGTTTAAAAAAAGTTGAGTTTTCATAGAGAAAATCGTATTTTATTGAACGATGTTGTTAGCAGCCTAGTTGAATTAATGTCGATTTAGTATCGAACAATGAGATTTCGGAATCTTCCAAATCAGTTGGAGATATGCAAAATTAGTCGCTCATTTCGAATATATATTGTTGAAAACTGAGCTAGGAGTCATTAGAGTATCAAAAATTAAAAAATGACGTCGATAAGCCTAGAAAAATATGAGCACGTGCAATAGAGTAAAATATAAGAAAATAAAATTTTGAATATAGACTGCGCATTCTTTTGCTAGAATACAAGAAGGCGCTTTCAGGAAGGTAAAGCGACATGATTCTCGTCGTCTTTTATTTTTAATCTGCTAAATTTTCTTGGATGTAATTGTTTGGACATCATCTCCCCAGTAGGGGCCAAAAATATTCCTTCCAAATACTGTGTTAGGAAGATACATTTCCAGTGCGGTTGGGAGACAGTGCAGTGGTCCCGGAGAATTCCGTGGTGTAAGCAGAATTACTTGAAAACGTCATATTATGCAAATATGAGTCAATTTTTGTGTCGAAAATAGCTTCTTTTCACGGTTTTGTTTGTCCCATAGTTCTTCTCTGCAGGCTCGAGAGGACGAAGTTATTACTGCTGTAATCAACGCATCGAGTTCTACAAGACAGGGTATGTGCTGTTGAAAAAGTCGCATGATACTTGGTGAGCTTCCCTCATAAGCGGAATTTGTTATCATACATTAGGATCATCGATTACACGACCATTAACACATTCCGCATATCCCAAGCTTCCAGATTCGATATATATATTGTTGAAAGCAAATAAATGAACACAATCATCTGTAACTAGGGCTCGTTTACCTATTACTTTCTCCATCCTAACAAAAGTTTTTGATGTTCTGCTTTCGATCTACCTCTCTATCTTATACAACGACCGGGTAGATAGCTTACCGAGTACTATAAGCTCTATATATCGATTTTTCACTTAGTACAATCAAACCGGTTCATCTTGCATTGATCACGTCGAATAACCTTTTGGGGCATTCATTCCATCTTGGGCTCTTTCCTAAACGATTTGCTAGTTTTCATATTTGGCATTAGTCGCCGATGCCCAATTTGTAAATAAAGTATAACTCTGATACCGACTATAGTTCTACAGCTGGATTGTGAAATACATCTATCCAGATTAACTCACAAATTGAGCATTAAAAAAGCGATGATTGACTAAGAAGCAGAGTGAAGCTTTCCTCTACAGCTTCGAGAAAATTAATCAAAACTCTTCAACAGATATAAGGTTATGTGTAAGTAATAGGAAGAAAATAGTTGACCTCCGTGGAGACAAACCCTCACTTCTATAAGAAAACGAAGTGACGCTTACTGAAATTTTTATTAAATGCTTCAGTGTTAACATAGTTCACAATCAATATCGCTTTTGCTTTCACACTTCGAATTAAAAAAATATCAGACAAATAAATAAACTTTTTAAACTTAAACGCGAAAGTATGACTAACGTTAATGCAAAAAAGATACAGATGGGTGTAAAATGTAGAGATCTTTTATTTCACAAGTTTATTCCACCATCAAACATAGAAGTGATGCTCGTGCTTAGAAATGCGTCAACCAATAATTAGGTAGTACGGATTTTATTTAGAAGAATTTTATTGTCGCAAGCGGTACATTGACAAATTCGAAAATGCAAGGTTGTTATATTGGTTGGTTACGATACTTCATAAAACTTAGGTAGAGATAAATGAACGAGATTGTATTATCAAAAACCAAAATGAGATAAGCTGTAAGTTATTTTCACCGTATTAAATGCGTTCTACTTCTTCTCATTAAAACAAAATTGAATCAAAATATAAAATGGTTGTTTGAAAACTGTTTTGCTTTTGAAAAAGACTATAAACCACGTCGTTAGTTCAAATAGATTAATAAAATTAAATATTTCAATGTTAATCTCTGTTTGATATTGGCAGTATATCAGTTTGCCTATTTTCTGATAAATTTAGGAATATGAGATAGCAAACTCTTTAATGTCGATTTTATTTATTGGCAGAAGATATCATGTCAATAAAAGATTGATTTCATAAATTTATTTCCTTACTTTCTTTAAATGTGTGTGTGCTTGAATAACAAAAGAAAAGAAACGTTGTTCTCTCCAACAAACTGAAAATCCTGTTGTTTTTTATATTATATTAAAGAAACTTTTAAAATTTCGATCTATGCCTTTACTTAACAATGCATCTACACATTCTTCTTCAAACATTATTGTTCTCGATTTTTTTCACTCTAAAGTGCATTACCGAATAACATTTGAGACATGTAACTAAAGTTAAAGTGTATATTCGATAAGAAATCATGTTATGTCATATATTCTATGTATGTACTATAAATCCTAAAACTTTTAGCAGATTGTTATTTATAAGAAAACACTTTTTTTTCTAAAATATAACTGCTTGCAAGTAATAAAGCAATATATAATGTAAGTCTTTTTTAAATAAGTTTTATTAGCTAAATTTTGTACAATTGTTAGAATTAGGATCGTCTTTCACTTTCTTATGACAGAAACTATATGTATGAAGATTAATTTTAAAAATCATGTACGACTGACCGATGTCATTCTGATTATCAAAAGAAATCTAAGACGATCAACTATTATCCTTCCGCTCATAACAGTGTAATTATATATAGTTGATTTCATTTAAAGTTCATTCTTGCAGTTTCAATCGTTATACACAATATAGACTAAGAATATTTTTCTTGCATTTGACTACAAACTATTGTTCATGTATTCAAGTGAAAATTAATTTTTTTTTTATATATTTCGATAGTTTAAGTTTCAAAATATTCTAATGAATTTATTTTCGTTTCTATTGTGAAAGAATAATGTTTCAGTCAACTATAAACAATTTTATCTTATTTATTAAACAATTTCTTTCTTTAAACAGCTCTAACGAACAAGCAAGCAAAGTTTGATGTTCATTATGAATTTTTTTTTTTTTTAAAAAATGATATTTTTTTCCTTTGTATCTTCTACGCACTACTTTAATTTCTTCTCTTTTTTTTTTCTTCTCTTTTTTCGATAATTGCATCGTCTGACAAACAAAGAATTTTATAATACTCTACAAGTAAAAGAAAAGTGATCGCTTTTCTTTTTAACAATAATAAGTCCATGTTTTCCGAATTTTTACAAAAAAAAAAAAAAAATCTCAAATTTTTTTTCTTAGGTAAAATATAGGGATTACATTCTATTCACTACGGATAGGAAAAACGACACACAATGATTGACAATAAAAAAGTAGAATAAAATTATTTGTTTAAAAACCGGAAGTTTTTTATGATTCTTTATGGTTATGTATATATGAGGAAATATAGAACATCAGGTCAGTGCACATATATAATTTTTTGATATCCCGTGATCCGCTTCAGTATATGATGAAATTTTTTTATATAATCAACTTAATTGCTAAAAGCTTATAATGTTAAATGTAATTTTTTTTTTTTTTTTTTTTTTTTTGGTTAAAGTGGGTTGTATATATTGAAAAAAATTGAATGAAAAGAACAGAGAAAAAAAAAAAAAGTAGTAAAATACCCGGTGGGGTTTTGTATGATTTTAAAATAAAGGATGATATT